CCAGGAGGGCCCGAATAGGCCAAGATCATTGATTTTCCTGTGGTTTTTGAATGATTGTGGCATTTGTCTCTTCTCGGCATTCCGCCGGACAGAGACGGCCCAAGAGGCCGCCAAGATCGCCCACGAGGCCTCCAAGAGGGTTCCATGACGGCCCAAGAGGCCTCCAAGACCGCCCCAAGACGGCCCAAGAGACCTCCAAGACGCCCAAGATGGCCTCCAAGACGGCCCCGAAGTGCCCCAAGAGGACCCCAAATCGGTTCAGAGAGGCCCCCCAAACGGCTCCCGACGGCGTCAGACGTGCCAGGAACCCACCAAGATGGCCGAAGTTGGCTCGAAGCTGGCCCAAGACGGCCCAAGAGGCCTCCAAGAGGGCCTCCAGGAAAGCCAGAAAAGGCCGAAAACACTGATTATCCTAAGGTGTTTGAAGGATTTTGACATTTGCTTCTTTTCGGCCTTCCGACGGAAAGAGACGGCCCAAGAGCCCCCAAAGATCGCCCAAAGATCACCTAAGAGGCCTCCAAGATGGCCCCAGAACGGCCCAAGATGGCCTCCAAGACGGCCCTGGAGCACCCCAAGAGGGCCCTAAGTCGGCCCAGAGAGGCCCCCCAAACGGCTTCCGACGGCGTCAGACGGGCCAGGAGCCCAACAAGACGGCCGAAGATTGCCCTAAGATGGCCCAAAACGGCCCAAGAGGCCTCCAAGAGGGCCTCCAGGAAGGCCGGAAAAGGCCAAAATCCTTGATTTCCCATGAGTTTTTGAAAGATTGTGGCATTTGCTTTTTTCGGCCTTCCGACGGCCCGAGACGGCCCAAGAGCACCCAAAGATTGCCCAAGAGGCCCAAGACGGCCCCAAGAGGCCTCCAAGACGGCCCAAGAGGCCTCCAAGACGCTCAAGATAGCCTCAAAGACGGCCCACGAGCCCTCCAAGACGTCCTCCCAAAAGGCCCGAAAGGGTCAAAATGGCCTCCAGAGGGCCAAGAGGACCTTCAAGATGCCCACGTGTTCCCCGAAGGCGTTCCAAACCGACTCGGGGAACACATGGTCCGATAGCTTGGCAGATCTGATCTCAACGTGGCGCTTCCAAAAAGGCAGGGGGCGGCGGTGATTCGCCGTAGGCGTCGTCGATCAAAACCCCCTCCCCCAGGCGACCGGCAGCCAACCAAGATCAATGAGGGCACCCCCTCCAACCATCCCTGTCCAAAAAATAAAGAATCCACTCAGGGGCAACATCTTGGTTCATGATTAGGGGGGCCGCGAGCACCTTGTGTTTTTCTGGCAGGGGCGGCGGGGATGCCCGCAGACCGCCTGCTGCGCACAGGGCCACCATCCCTGTCAAACCCCCTTAAAAATTATCCCGGCAAAGCAACCTAACATCGATGTGTAGGAGCATATCTGGAAGCATTCCCCTTAAGATTCGGATGAGAATCCAGTTGTAGAATTCTGCTGTTCTCGCAGTCGTAGTCGCATTCGCGATGACAGTCGCAGTGGCAACGGCAGTCGCAGTCACAGCCTCAGCCTCAGCCTGCCTCAGCCTCAGCCTCAGCCTGCCTCAGCCTCAGCCTGCCTCAGCCTCAGCCTCAGCCTGCTTCAGCCTCAGCCTCAGTCTGCCTTCAGCCTCGGCCTCAGCCTCAGCCTGCCTCAGCCTCAGCCTGCATCAGCCTCAGCCTCAGCCTGCCTCAGCATCAGCCTGCCTCAGCCTCAGCCTCAGCCTGCCTCCGCCTCAGCCTCAGCCTGCTTCAGCCTCAGCCTCAGTCTGCCTTCAGCCTCGGCCTCAGCCTCAGCCTGCCTCAGCCTCAGCCTGCATCAGCCTCAGCCTCAGCCTCAGCCTGCCTCAGCCTCAGCCTGCCTCAGCCTCAGCCTCAGCCTGCTTCAGCCTCAGCCTCAGTCTGCCTTCAGCCTCGGCCTCAGCCTCAGCCTGCCTCAGCCTCAGCCTGCATCAGCCTCAGCCTCAGCCTCAGCCTGCAGCCTCAGCCTCAGCCTGCCTCAGCCTCAGCCTGCCTCAGCCTCAGCCTCAGCCTGCTTCAGCCTCAGCCTCAGTCTGCCTTCAGCCTCGGCCTCAGCCTCAGCCTGCCTCAGCCTCAGCCTGCATCAGCCTCAGCCTCAGCCTCAGCCTGCCTCAGCCTCAGCCTCAGCCTCAGCCTCAGCCTCAGCCTCAGCCTGCTTCAGCCTCAGCCTCAGTCTGCCTTCAGCCTCGGCCTCAGCCTCAGCCCTCAGCCTCAGCCTGCATCAGCCTCAGCCTCAGCCTCAGCCTGCCTCAGCATCAGCCTGCCTCAGCCTCAGCCTCAGCCTGCCTCAGCCTCAGCCTGCTTCAGCCTCAGCCTCAGTCTGCCTTCAGCCTCGGCCTCAGCCTCAGCCTGCCTCAGCCTCAGCCTGCATCAGCCTCAGCCTCAGCCTCAGCCTCAGCCTCAGCCTCAGCCTCAGCCTGCCTCAGCCTCAGCCTGCTTCAGCCTCAGCCTCAGTCTGCCTTCAGCCTCGGCCTCAGCCTCAGCCTGCCTCAGCCTCAGCCTGCATCAGCCTCAGCCTCAGCCTCAGCCTGCCTCAGCATCAGCCTGCCTCAGCCTCAGCCTCAGCCTGCCTCAGCCTCAGCCTCAGCCTGCTTCAGCCTCAGCCTCAGTCTGCCTTCAGCCTCGGCCTCAGCCTCAGCCTGCCTCAGCCTCAGCCTGCATCAGCCTCAGCCTCAGCCTCAGCCTGCCTCAGCATCAGCCTGCCTCAGCCTCAGCCTCAGCCTGCCTCAGCCTCAGCCTCAGCCTCAGCCTCAGCCTGCTTCAGCCAAAGCCTCAGTCTGCCTTGAGCCTTGGCCTCAGCCTCAGCCTCAGCCTGCCTCAGCCTCAGCCTGCATCAGCCTCAGCCTCAGCCTCAGCCTGCCTCAGCATCAGCCTGCCTCAGCCTCAGCCTGCCTCTGCCTCAGCCTCAGCCTGCTTCAGCCTCAGCCTCAGTCTGCCTTCAGCCTCGGCCTCAGCCTCAGCCTGCCTCAGCCTCAGCCTGCCTCAGCCTCAGCCTCAGCCTGCCTCAGCATTCAAAATGTGGCCCGGGAATGGAATTCTGGGAACTCGAAGAACACGAAGTGGCCTACAGTTGGCTCCGGGCATTCAAAATCATGCCCAGGAATGGAATTCTGGGAACTCGAAGATCACGAAGTGGCCTACAGTTGGCTCGGGGCATTCAAAATGTGGCCCGGGAATGGAGTTCTGGGAACTCGAAGAGCACGAAGTGGCCTACAGTTGGCTCCAGGCATCCAAAATGTGGCCCGGGAATGGAGTTCTGGGAAGTAGAAGAGCACGAAGTGGCCTACAGTTGGCTCCGGGCATCCAAAATGTGGCCCGGGAATGGAGTTCTGGGAAGTCGAAGAGCACGAAGTGGCGTACAGTTGGCTCCGGGCATTCAGAATGTGGCCCGGGAATGGAGTTCTGGGAAATCGAAAAGCACGAAGTGTGTGACTGTATGCAAAAAACGATCCCCCCCGGAAAACCCCAACGGCTCCCCAACGGCTGCCCAGACCCCCCTGTGGAGTAATGTGCTGCTCTCTTTTTACCCCACTAGAAACCTACCAGTCTTCGATGTTAGGTAATAATGGACATCGGGACAGCATTTGGATCATGCGCGGGCACCACGCGATCACTGTGCATTGGTTGTTAACTTGGACGGCGGGGGTGCTGGCATATTGCCTGCTATGTGCAGGCCCACAAGACGCTATGGTGGCCACCCCACCGCGACTGCGCACTGGTCTTCGACAAGGGTGGTGGGGGCCGACACGTTTCCCGATGTGCACTGCCACGTTCGGCGCTTCTGGCACACTCTGCGCATATCCCGAACGAACGTGGCGCACCTAGCGCGGCCGGAACATGCGGCACACATGACGCACGTTGATCACGTGGCGCATCTGGCGCACCAGGCGTGCCCGGCACGCTTGGTCCACAGGGGTGCCTGGCGCACCTGGCGTGCGTGGCGCGCCTGGCACCCCTGGCGCACCTCGCCCCAGCATTGCGCACATGGGGCCTGTTTTTGTTCTCATTAGCTGCCCATACAAAGACTAACGCTGAACACGCTGCGGCTCGGGTGCTACGTATGTGTTATGTGTTCGGAGGGCGGGTGGGAGTGAGCGAGACGGCTTGTGGGCGGGAAGGGTGTCTTGACCTCTCCCCCTCCCCCCTCCCCCTGGGTTTGGAAAGAGTGTCCCGCGAGGTCCTAGAAGGTCTTTTTTGGCCCCGGCGAGAAGGCCAACATCTTTGGCCACATTTGGGCCTTGAAGAAGCCAGCGCGGTCAGCAACGACAAGCACACGCAGCACTTCAGCGGCACGGGAGATAGAAAGAGGTTACTTCATCTCTTGATGTGCGTGGCCGTTGTGGGGCTTCCAAGGAGCCTCCGGAGTCCCATCTGGTAGGAGGAGAGGGAGCGGGGAAGGGGGCGCCCGCAGGCGAGAAGGTTCGCAAGCGCGGGCTCCAGCACAGCGCGCACACTAGGCGAATAATCCCACTACGTGGGACAACAGCTTCGGCAGCATGCGGCAGCATTCGCGAGGCCCCAGCAGTGCCAATCTTATTTTGTTCCAGCATCGTGGGTTGCTAGCCAGCTTTCGCCCTCGTTAGCATCCGACAACAACAGGCAACAAGATGGGGTTTCCCCAGGTAACGGGCGCACCCCCTTGGCAATCCCTTCCCTAGTTGGCTCAGGGACTGTCCACAGGAAGCCCGCTCGCTGCCCTGGCAGTTTGGTCAGTGATCCTCCTCCCCTACCTCCTCCCTCCTCCACCTCCTCCTCCTCCTCCTCCTCCTTCTCCTCCTCCTCCTCCTCCTCCTCCCCCTCCCCTCCCTCCTCCTCCTCTCCTCCTCCTCCTCCTCCTACTCCTCCTCCTCCCCCTCCTCCTCCTATCCTCCTCCTCCTCCTCCTCCTCCTCCTCCTCCTCCTCCTCCTCCTCCTCCTCCTCCTCCTCTCCTCCTATCTCGCGAGGGCTCGCGCGTTCTCGTGAGCGCGCGCGCGCGCCCGCGGAGACGCAGTCGTCCTTCTTGCAATAATCGTCGCAGCGCTTGTCTGCCTGGGTGCCGCCCCCCCCCGCTCGCCCAGTGCCGGCCCCCCCCACCGCAGATTCTGAGAACGCCCGCGCGGCGTGTTCGCCCGTGGGGCACGGCTGCGGATCGATGCCGATCGATGGTGAGCGTTTATTATATTCGGCGTTTCGACGTTGGGCGGAAGGGGGGGGAGGGGGGGGGTCTGGCTCCGGACCTGGGATTTCTGCTTAGTGCGACTGTTTGCGACAGTGCGTCCTATGGGGGAGGGGCTCCACCTGCTCGAAACAGGCGCCAAAACAGCCAAGATCCACTCCCGGGGGGGTTGGAGGGGGGGTGCGAGGGCCCGCGCCGATCGGCAACATAATTAATCACAAAAACGCTCACGATCGATGCGAAGCATTGCCTGTAGTGAGCACGCGGAGGCAAGATGTGCTCGGAACTGGCTTGCACAGGCTGGGGAGAGGGCACGAAAACGTAGTGCACCCCAGCCCTTCTCACCATGCAAGGGCGTCAATCGGGCCGGGCGGAAGAGGGGGATAGCAAAGGGGGGGGTTGAGAACCAGCTCACGTGGCTGCTTTTCCCCGGCGCCTCCAGGCGCCGGAGGCGGCTATGTATCGAGGAATGGGCCCCTCGGTGGGGGCCGAAACCAGCTGCTGGCAACAGAGTTTGTACCCCCCCCTTTCCCCGTCACCCCCTTTCGTCTGGCCCGACTCCAGGGTTCCGCGTCCGAGGGTTCCAGGGACGCAACGGCGCCCGGCGGAGCGTAAGCACCTCTCCCCTCGCCCTGCTGCCCTTTGCATTCGTCATCACTCCTTCCTCTTCCCTCCGAAAGAATGGGCGAGAGAGGATCAGCTGGATGTTTTTCTGTCTCAGAAACCTAGGGGTTGCGTGCTAGGCACCAGCCTTTGGGCCTGCTCAGCTTCTTCTCAGCCCAGAAGCTACTGACTGTGAACAGCCACGTTCAAACGCAACGTCAGGGAACCGATATTGAAACGCAACGCCTCCTCCCACCTCCCACCTCCGACATTGAAACGCAACGCCTGCATTCGTCATCACTCCTTCCTCTTCCCTCCTCCCACCTCCTCCCTCTTCCTTTAGGTCGGGCGTGTCCCCCTACAGGCGGATTCTGGACGAAAAATAACAAATAGTCGAACCATATACAGACATGATCAAAAAAAACACAAACACATGGACTATTTTGAACATTCCTCCTGCAGAAGGACACGTAAGATTTGAGACTTCCTTTTCCATGCGAGCCACATGCGCGCGCCGAAAATCAAGGTCATCAAGCAGCAAATGGTTGCTCTTTCCTTGACAGCGCAAAACAAGTCAACAACAGCAACAACACCAACAACACCAACAACACCAACAACCAGCGGCCACTTGTTCAAACTGATCATGGGCTTGGGTCTGCGCAATGATTGAATAATCATGCCTGATACCAGGTTGAGCCCAGTGTCCAGAATTGTAGATTTCTATCCCGGACACTTGAGGTTGAGAAATTGAAACTTGACATGTTCAATCCTCAATCCCCCAAATGGGAAAATGAATTCTCATGATTTCAATCCCGCCCTTCCCGGAATGAAGAATCAAACATCAACGTGGGATTCTCCAATGTTTCAACGTTCCAATTCTCAATCCGTGGCCCTCATGACTGAAATACGGAAAACAAGGATGCCTTTTCGGGGATGGACAGACCCCCCTTTAGCAAAACGTGGTTTAGTGAAAACGACCTGAGGCCCAAACCTGGCGGGCGCGAGCCTGGAAAATAACGGCCACGGCGCCCTCTCGAGAACCGAAAACGGATAATTCACTAATCGACGTGTCACTGTTGGGGGTTCTGTCCACCCCCGACCTTTTTCTGTAAGAATCAACAAGAAGATTCTCGGGTTGCACTTGTGAACTCGGGCGGGCCGACGACCAAGCGGAGGTCCCACAGCTGGAGGACCAACCCGGTACCCTTGAGAACATCGCGATCCTCCAGCCCTTCAGGGTAACCGTGCCCCCCCAAACCCTGATAGGTCAGGCCAGCGGCAACCTTGCCGTGAGCCCCTGAGACCATTCCGAAACATATAAAGGAACCCAGGGACACACAAGTAAATTCACACAGATCCCAAGATTCCCCGCATTTTCCTATAGTTTCTGGGTTGTCGTCTTCCCCCCACACTTCCTATATTTTCATATATTCCTGAGAGTCGACGCTTCATTATGTCTGTGTGTTTCTTTCCCTCCTGGTCATTCCTGGAATGCGTTTCGCCCAGGACTCCACGAGGAGTGCAGTCGCGGCGACGGCGCCCTCCACGTACGGAGGCTCCCTCAAGCCAAACACCAACAGAAATCTCTCGCGCAGATCCTGGATCCTCGTGGTCGACAACGCCGGCGGCGAAGGCCAACGAGGTCGTCGACGACCCTCGCGCTTCTTGGGAGAATCGCGACTCTCAAACACTGGGGAGAACCAGGTCCACCACACTCTGATAGGCCAGGTCGCCGGCAGAATCTGCTTCGGCTCCCTGGCTCCCTCCCGGGACGCGCTCCGCCGAGGATCTCGAAAGGAATCCGGCCGCGGTGACGATGCCGACGGCGGAGACTACACACAAATAGGGGGACGAACAACTGCATAAACATCAAAACTCGGAGGTCCGCGCGGATTTCTCGGATCCGCGCTGGACCATACTGGCGGCGACTCCGGTGCCGCCCCTGGCGCGCTCCGCGCGCCAGGGAGGGGGGTCCGGCGCCGATCCGACAAATCCGCGCGGACCTCTGAGTTGTTATGTTTATGTCGTCCTTCGATTTCCCAAGAAAACCCCACGCTCTCATGCCCCGCCCGCCCGACCCGCCACGCTCGCTGATCCCGCCCCTTCCCAACCGAAGAGAGCAGCTCTTGACAAATCTTCAAGTGTTCCGCCCGCCCGGCCCGCCGCGCCAGGCTGTCCTCCTCGCCTCCCGACCGCGCTCGAGCGAGAGAGAGAGAGAGAGAGAGAGCGCGAGAGCGAGCCTCTCTCTCTCTTGAGGGCCCCGCCCCCCCCCGCCCGGCCCGCCCTGCCTGCGGGCCCCGCGCCGCCCGACCACGCCCTCTCGCGGGACGGCTACCCGCTGTATGATTGGAGGAGGAGGAGGAGGCGGAGGAGGAGGAGGAGGCGGAGGAGGAGGCGGAGGAGGAGGAGGCGGAGGAGGAGGAGGCGGAGGAGGAGGAGGAGGCGGAGGAGATGACTTGCACCGCTATCGCGTGCCGAGGTGAGCAGCCCCAGTGCAGACGCAGAGCGCCCTGCCTTCAAGGACCCGCCCGCCCGACCCGCCCTGCCCCGTTCGTTCCGCGCCGCCTCCTCCTCCTCCTCCTCCTCCTCCTCCTCCTCCTCCTCCTCCTCCTCCTTTCGCGCGGCATCTCAGAGCTCAGAATTTCGAGGATGCCTCAGACGAAACGGGCGGGAAAACCTCGCGCACAGCATCTCAGAGCTCAGAGTTCGAGGATGTCTCAGGCGAAACGGGCCGGACCACCTCTCGCGCGGTATCTCAGAGCCCAGAGTTTCGAGATGTCTTCGGCGAAACGGGCCAGACCGCCTCTCGTGTGGCATCTGGGAGCTCAGAGTTTCGAGGATGTCTCAGGCGAAACGGGCCGGACCACCTCTCGCGCGGCATCTCAGAGCCCAGAGTTTCGAGGATGTCTCAGGCGAAACGGGCCGGACCACCTCTCGCGCGGGACCACCTCGCGCACGGCATCTCAGAGCTCAGAGTTTCGAGGATGTCTCAGGCGAAACGGGCCGGACCACCTCTCGCGCGGCATCTCAGAGCCCAGAATTTCGAGGATGTCCCAGGCGAAACGCCCAATCCCGGCCAACTCAGAAACGAGAGTTGTGAGGATGTCTCAGGCGAAACGAGCCGGACCATTAGATGTTTGTGAGGATGTCTCTGCCTTTCCCTCGGCCGCAGTTAGCTTCTATCACAACAGCACCCCGTTCAGCAAGCTGTTTGGGGAAAAATGGTCGTCAACAAAAATACTAGACAAATTGTTTTCAAACTATCTTTAGTCTATTTTTGAATTTTCTCCCTGTAGAAGGACAGGCCAAACTAAAAACTAAATCGGACAATCAAATCGAACCTGCTATGGAATCGGATCTTCCGGAAACCGGCGAGACTCCAATCGAGCCGGCGCAAACAAGTAGGTGACCGCATAACATCGGCAAGGCCACCCAGGATAATCAGAGTCTTAAAGAAAGGCGAGCCCTGCCGAAAGAGAAGGAAGCACGCGTGAAGGCGCACCTCGGCTTTCATATCCTTCTTCTTTTTGAGCCACACAGACGGGAACTCCTCGCAGTACCCCTCATGACACTGCTTCCTGAACAATGAGCCGAAGGAATCGTCATGCTCGCGTTTGTTTGCGCTTTGGCTGATGCGATGCGCATGTGCCTCGTCAGTGTATGCGCGCGGGCACATGCTCACATGCATTTGTCTCCGTCTGCGTCGTGTTTGGGTGTCTCTCTCTCTCTCTCTCCCTATCTCTATCCCACTCTGTCTGGCCTCTCTTCCTGCACGCTCGCTGGCAAAGACAAATACGTCACCACGCAACGGCCCGACCAAACATGCACATGCAGAACAACTGTGGAACACAATCCAACGCGTAATCAATTCGAATGTGCCGTAAACGTATGGCGTGGTACGCGCACGTCAACACACCCACACTTGCAAGACGAGCGTGGCTGGCGTGTGTGACAGGCGCTGCGCGGCTGCGGCGCGCGTGCACGAGGCAGGCGCGAGGACGTACGAACCAAACAATAGTTAGAAGAGGTTGAGCCAACAAGCGCGGTCGGGCAGACCCGCCGACGAGGGTAGCGCCAGTGGGCCGGAACCTGGAGATGAAGGCATGCGTACACTTGCCAGATGGCTGGACACGTCGTCGTTGGGCGTAGGAAGCAGGGGCTCGTCCGGCACTTGCGCTCAAAAAGGGCAGCGCAACCCGGTGATCCGCCCGCGCGGTCGCAGCATGGGCGTTGCGGCGCTGCGGCGCGCCCAGCAGGCCCCTCGTCCTTTCCCATCGATCGGGCGTCGCCAGACGTGCCCCTGGCGCAAGGTGACCCCAGGATTTCTAAGGAGGCCCCACATTTCATTTTTCGAGCCGCAGGAAATCGGGCTCCACATCGAGCCCCATCGCCGACGCATCGGCGCCATGATGCTGTACAACTCCGGACCTGCGAGCCGCGGCCCCTGACCCAGGCCGGAGTAAAAGTGAATGACAACGGCGTGGCATTGCCGCTGAAACGGCCGCTCTCGCGGTGCCATGTGCGTCGGAAACACGACGGGCCAGGACGCCCTGTAACGAGGAGGAGGAGGAGGAGGAGGAGGAGGAGGAGGAGGAGGAGGAGGAGGAGAGCACCCCTCCCGAGGCCCAGGGCCCCAGGGGCTCCAGAAGGGAGCGGGACGCCGGGAGCACCTCGGGCCCGGGGCACCTCCAGCAACCCCGGACACATTGCAAGGCGGGGCGTCTGTCGCGCGCTGGTCGTCCATTCCCTGTGTGTTTTTGTTCGGTTTCGTGCGTGGTCTTTTTCGCCAAATGATCAAGGATGCTCCTCGATGGCCCTCGCCGAAGGAGAAATGCGCACGTCCGAGCGATGCCAAGCCCCAAGAGCCCTCCAAGAGGCCCCTGCGAGGCAGCCCACGAGCCCCTCAGATGCATCCAAGAAGCCCTCGACTCATGAGAGGAGTTCCACGATCGTCACAAGCCACTTGAATGAGGGCGAGCGAGAAGGATGCAGGCCCCTTAGACGCCCATGCCGAAGCTTTTCCGAGCGGGGCTGGCCATCGAAAGGGGTCAGGGATGGACCGAGGAGGCAAGGATGCAATGGTACTCTTGGGAAACTTACCCATCCTTACTCTCAATTTCGACTGTACGGCACAATCGGGGACGGACAGACCTCCCTTTAGTAAAACGTGGTTTAGTGATAACGACCTGAGGCCCAAGCCTGGCGGGCGCAGGCCTGGAAAATAACGGCCACGGCGCCCTCTCGAGAACCGAAAACGGACAATTCACTAATCGACGTGTCACTGTTGGGGCTTCTGTCCACCCCCGATACAAGGTACCCTCGCAACAAACCCAGCCCTGCAAATTCACCAGGCTCCCTACCCAGAGTCGAGGCTCCTTCGCCAGGGGCCCCACGCGGAGACATCCAGGGCAACTTGACCCGAGCAGGTTTATTCCCAAGTGGCGCCAGGAACATTGAGAAACAGCGCCTGGAAAGAAGCACAGGGCCATTCGACAAGTCCTCTGGAACTGCGACGCCGGCACATGGCCCAGAATTCGCTGCATAGCCAAAAATCCGCCGACTCCTTGGGGGCCTTCCGGCGTGTATATTCCCCCCCATGATCCTCCCCCCAGTGACCCCAAACCGGGAATTTGACCCCCCCCGCCCTGGACGACCTCCGGACGCTCCCAGAGCGGTCCAAGAGGGCCCCGAGTCGCCGAAAGATCGCTGCAAGACGCCCGGAATGGCCTCCGGGACGGCGGAAGAAGCCCCCAAGACGCCCCAGGAGGCCTCCAGGACGGCCCCCCAAGAGCGCCCCAAAAGGCCAAGATCCTTGATGTCCCCGTGGTTTTGCAGGCTTTTGGCTGTCTCGCCTCTCCGCGCAGCGACGCTCCAAGACGGGCCCCGGAGGCCCTCAGAGATCGCCCTGAGAAGGCCCAGGTGGCCCCCAAGACGGCCCCAAGCCGGCCCAACGACGGCCCCAAGAGGCGCCCAAGAGGCGCCCACAGAGGCTCCCAAGACGGCTCCAAGACTGGTCTTCCGCCTCGAGATGGCCCGAGGAGACCCCACGAGCGCCCCAAGAGGCTTCCGAGAAGCTTCTGAGAGGCCCCAAAGAGGCCCCCCATCAAGCTTCAAAGCTGCCTCCAGCAAGCCCCCTAAAAGCTTACCGCGCTGTCCCAACGAACACTCAAGATCCCTCTGACCCACTACACAAGCACTGTGGCGGGATAGGCCGCAGGCGATGTCATATTCAACGGCTCGGGAGCCCGAAGAGGGCTTCCAGAGGCCGGCATCGATGAAAAACCACCTAAGATCGACAATCGAGACATGGTCCTGTCTTCTATTTGCCCCTGGGCCCCCGGCCGCGGTAGGCTTAGGTCGGGCGTGTCCCCCTACAGGCGGATTTTGGACGAAAAATTAAACATAGTCAGAAATACCCCCAAAGGGTCAAACAGACTCGAAAAATCGTCCCAGGCTATCTTTCTACTATTCTTGAAATCTCCCCCTGGAAAGGGACAGGCCCGACTTAACGGTAGGCGGTCTTCTCCTTCTTCACCTTCCCCTCCCCTTCCTCCTCCTCCTCCTCCTCCTCCTCCTCCTTTTCTTCTTCTACCTTCGATCGTCTGACGTGTTTCGTCATCCGTTCCTGCTCAGAGGTGCTGCCAGGAACAGCGCCCCCCCGCCCCCAGCTTGAACAGGATGATGGTGATAATAATGATAATGATAATGATAAGTATACTGATACTGATACTGATACTGATAATGATAATGATAATGATAATGATGATGTTGATGATGCTGATGATGTTGATGATGATGATGATGATGGTGGTCGTGGTGGTGTTGATGCTGTTACTGATGCTGAAGCTGATGACGATGACGATGATGAGGACGATTATTGCGATGTCGATGATGATGATGATGCTGATGGTGATGATGATGATGATGATAATGATGATGATGATGATGATGTAGACGACGAAGATGATGATGAAGACGACGACAATGACGATGACGATGACGATGACGATGACAATGACGATGCTGATGCTGATGCTGATGCTGATGCTGCTGCTGCTGATGATGATGATGATGATGATGATGATGATGATGATGATGAGGCGTCGGCGGATGTGGCATAAGCCTTGATAACCTGCGACACAAGTCGGCACATATGCAATGTACTTAGTTTACCTGTGGCGCCCTGGGGCTTTCTCGTTGGCTCCCCATTGCGCGCGCGAGGTACAACTGGGAGGAAATCCAGTGTGTCCTGAACGCAGCGGCGCAAAGGCGAGCATAGCGTACTACCCAGCCACCATGCCCCTCATGGAACTCAGCGATGGCGACTGGTTCAAGGATAAACGTATGATGATCCCATCGTACTTGAGGACCACACCCCAGAAATAATTTTGAGCGCCCGGAAATGTCGAAAGAGTGTCGAAGGAGTGTCGGAGGAGTGTCGGACGAGTGTCTCCCAGGGCCCGGCACGTGAAAACCTTCGAGTTTCGGTACTTGTTTCTTGTGCTCGAAGTTCTCTCTGGCGATCGAGGCTAAAGTAGTTTGGAACATCATAAGGATAAGCGGGGATGGTTTTGATCTGCGCCCATGGCGAACCTGTCGTCCCCCTCAACCCACGAGACCGAGAGTTAGGTCGGGCATGTCCCCCTACAGGCGGATTTTATACAAATAGTCAAAAAGTAAACTAAAATGACCAAACAGTGTTCAAAACATAGTCCCCAGAGTCGTTTTTAAAAACTATTTTTGATGATTCCTCCTGTAGAGGGACAGGCCCGACTGAACACGAGACCGAGAGTGAGCTACACCCGTCGACGCCTTCCAGGATGGAAGACGGCGTCGTTCAGCGCGGGCGACTGGGCCCAGGCACTCGGCATCGCGCCCAGCCGCCGTGCATCTGAGGGCGTTCGCGGCGCGCACAAGGATCGGGGGCGCGCAAACATGGATTGACGATCCATGGATTTGGCGCGCGGTCGCCAAATCTGTGGATCGGAGGAGGTGCCCTCCCCAAAATGCAGCCGGCGCCTCTTCGGCCGGCGGAGGAAATCCGCGATTTCCCATGGAAACGGGACCCGTCGCTAATCCACGACTTATGGACCTCCGGCTGCCCGGGTCCATGTGTGTAATCCACGCCCCATTAATCCATGTTTGCGATCGCCTGAAGGGGGTGGGGGGAGGGGGAGGGCTTCTTAGAAGGAGGCTGCTTCTTAGAAGGCGCCTGCCTTACATCTGCAGATGAGGCCCGCGCCTTCTAAGAAGCAGGGGTGTTTCCAAGAAGCCCTTCCCCCCTCCCCTCACCCCCCCTGCGAATGGCTGAGGTATATCGATTCCTCCCCTGACCCCCAGGACTTGAAAAAGTGGCTGCAACCCAAGGGATGAGACGGCAGCTCCCCCCCGCACGGCCAACCCGCTCAACATGGGCCCCAAACCCCTCCCGGGGTCAATCGGCATGAGCTGGTTTCGCTGGCGCTGGTTTCGCCGGCGCTGGTTTCGCCCACGGCTGGTTTCACCGACGCTATTTTCGCCTGCGCTGGTTTCGCCCCGCTGATTTCGCCGGCGGCTGGTTTCGCTGGCGCTGGCTTCG